CTGAGCTCTGGTAGCATATGCCTAAGGCACTTGACTGCTAACCAGAGGCTGGCGGTTTAAACACACCAACCACTCCTTAGAAGGAAGGTTGGGCAATCTACTTCCGTAATGATACCACCTCGGAAACCCAAGAAGGGGTCACTATGAGTCGGGTTTAATTCGATGGCACATAACAACAACAACCACAACATATGTATATACATACACATGCATACAAACACATCCACACATGACCACACAGTACATATATCCATGCATATGCACACACATGTGTGGCCATACATATACATACCCACACATACATATATATATACACTTATACACATGTCCACGTTATGCATACCCATGTCCCCAAATAAGCCCAAACCCACTGCCATCAAGTGGACTCTTGAGTCATAGCAGCCCTACAGAACAGAGCAAAACTGTCCCATAGGGTTCTAAAGCTGTAAATCTTTACAGAAGCAGACTGCCTCATCTTTCTCCTGTGGATCACCTGGTAGGTTTGAACCACTGACCTTTTGGTTAGCAGCCCAATGCTTTAACCACAGCCCACCAGAGCTCCTTATACATACCCATACCTACATGTCTATCCATACATATCCATATGCACATTTATATACATCCAAATACATATATGTCCACACACATATCTATCCATACATGTATGTATTCTCATATTATGTGACCATGCATATCATACATATATGTGTGTCCATTACAGAACTAAGACTGGTGTGAGTCTCATGTTATGAATGGGGAATCAGGCCTGGAGAAGTTATAGACCTTTCCCAGGCCCCAGACTTCCCTTAGAACGATGTGACTCAGTCTGAGAGGGCCCCAATTTCTGTACCCAACCTGAGTCGCCAGAGGGCAGCATTCTGCAGTCAGGGAGGACACAGCTTTTTGAGGTTGTCTGGACCAGGGAACCTCAAACTGCAGAGATGCAAAGATTTCCCCTCTACCTGCTGTAAAAGTCCAAAAATAAAAAAATCAGGGCAGTGGTGGTTCAGAGGTAGAATCCTGGCCTTCCGTGTGCTAGATCCAGGTTTGATTCCCGGCTAATACACTGCATGGGCAGCCACCACCCGTCTGGCAGTGGAGGCTCTCATGTTGCTACGATGCGGAGGAGCCCTGATTGCACAGTGGTTAAGTGCTTGGTTGCTGACAGAAAGGCCCATGGGAGAAAGATGTGCCACTCTTCTTCCATACAGCCTTGGAAACAGACGGCCATATCTTTTTCCTTTGCAGCAGCTAGTGGGTTTGAACTGCTGACCTTTAAGTTAGCAACCGAGCAATGACACCACCAGAGCTCCTCTGAAGTTGTCCAGACACTTTATTTGCTATGACAAAACGAAAACCAAAACCAAACTCACTGCCATTGAGTCGACTTTGACTCTTAGCAACCCCAATTGGGTTTCCAAGGTGGTAAATCTTTATGGAAGTAGATTACCCCATCTCCCTTCCACAGAGCAGCTGGTGGATTTGAACTGCCAACTTGCTGGTTAGCAGTCAAATACTTTAGGCACTGTTCTGGTTCCCTAGTGCCTCTCTGACAAGAATATACCACAAATGAGATGGCTTTAACAAACAGGAGTTTATTCTCTTACAGTTTGGGAGGCTAGAAGTCTGAGTTCAAAGTGCCAGGCTCTAGGGGCTGGGTGAAAGCCCCTCAACCTTGGGGTCCAACTTTGCCTCCTGCTCCCAGCCCACTGAAGCTAGAGGCG